GCGCCGCATAGTGTTATATTATTTTCAAAATTATTTAAATTTTAATATTATAACACTATGCGACGCTGAGTTTGTTTATACAAACATGTAATGCCTTGATAAAGATTAGCGTTAAGCCAACCGAAATATTAGCAAATAAATCTTTAATTCAATCCAATATTTGCCTTTTTATTATCTAATGATTTAAATATGGATTGCTCTATTTTCATAAATAAAATAATATATAAATTGTATTAGATATATTTAGTGGTTGGCCTTTCTTGATTTATCAGGAAAGTGGGTCGGCCAAATATCAGGGAACAGTCTAAATCAATAATTAGTTGATTTCTGTTCCACTAGATGGCGCTCTGCCATCTAAAAAAGCTCATGTGAGCGCCAGGATATGTCTATTTTGTTTTTAAATATATTTATATAGAAAGAAATTACAAAAAATTATCTTGTGTTTCTTTTTAAAGTACCTATTGATATAATTTACCTTTTTGGCTTCTGTGAAGTAGAAATATCACAACACAACGCAAATAAATATCCGGTTAGACAACAATCTCAAATACAGAACTTCAACGTGGAGCAAGCCAAGCTCTAATAGGCGAACTAGCTAGATTTCAATGTGGAATATCAATGATTTCGCTCTAAAGACTTTGCCGAATGACCTGAAAGGTAGGTGTCTCTGAATACATTTCTTATTCTCACTTTTCACCATAGTTTATCATAAGAACTTGATCTATGGAATAGATTCAATTATACGAAATTAGAGAAATCGAAAGAATAAGAAATCGTAAGCATTATGAGCTTTCCTAAATAAATAGGAGACTCTAGTTTGTCTTTCTCAAAGACGCCCATGATTGAATCTACGATTTGCTTTCAAATTAGTTTCCAGAATCACTAATTGATTCTTTGTTGATATAAATAACCTCCGGTCAAGACAAAGGAACCTCAGCTAGTAGCTACTGAAGAGAATAGTTCTCATATTACGAAAAAAATTATTAATTACAAGAAAAAATGCGAAAGCTAAATATTTTTCACCCCAATGCTGTCTTCTCTGTCTCATGCACTGGATGACATGGATGAGATAGGTAGAACAGTAGGGATATGACTCACTGAGCACCGCAGATGCGTAAAAAACTGGGACGAAAAACCTTAATACACCAGTACAAACAAATGACAGGGTACACTTACAACCTGAACAAAGCAATATTACACTGTAGAAACACTTGCTACAACTGTAGCAACAGTGTATTACACTGTAGTGAACAAGCATCAAAGACTGGTATTGGAAGCCTTGGTTTCACAAACATCAAAAGTATAAACAGGACAATTGACCTTCCTGACCATTACTGCATTATCCCAGCTTTAATCCTTGCTCTTAGATATAGGTAGTAACCTGCAGCATCTTGGGATTTGACCCGAACATAACTGGATTGCAAACTGTATAATTGTGAACAATTATTCTATCAATAAATGTCATGGAGTGTGTGATGTATATTTACATTCATACACATCAACTAAACATGATCAAATTATCGCGGTTGGAATATCTATAAATATATCGGTTGTACACCGCTATCGGATTGCTTCAAAAGTTGTTAAATCGACACCTCTCACTTGAAGCTTAGAGCTATTCGGACCAAAGTCATACTTTAGCCCACTACCATGGCCTGGGTGGAGATGCTTTAACTACCGCTCTGCCACATGCTCCAACCCTGCCTCTCAACTACCACTTAGTGCTGAAATACCCTGAAATTTAAGCCATTAAAATCCTATTATTCTCTCTCTATCTCGGACAATAGCATCGAACACATGTCTGGAGGTGAGAACTTAGCACCAAAACCTCTGGAATTTACTGAAATTGCAGTATATTTCCAGCTAATTTTGTTTTCATATTCTAACTTCCATTACAAACACAAACATTGAATTATTGTCCTTGAATGGGAGGTGAGATTATTCTCAAACTGGTGAAAATTTGCCAAAATGATTTTAAAGACCCTACCGATAACATTGGATACTGATGTATACATCCTACCTATTCAATTTTATTAACGTCTTTAATATGCGTTGAATAGAAACATATGTAAAAAGGTCAGATTTGATTAAATATTGTGGCGAAGAACTAATTTATTATTTAATTTAATTCAATAATTCAATGAAAATATTTGGAAATAGATTTATTATTTTACATTAGTAAAATCATCATTAAGTTGCCTAGCTTGCTTGCTCGATATTCTCTAGCTGTATATAGTTTGTTTAATTTGTTAATATTGGTCGACTGGTCGTGGTGACATTATCAATAAATACTTTCACATCTCCAGATATACAGAGACCTGATTTCTACGCTACAATATGTATTTTTGTAATACTGTAGAGAAATCTGTCCTTTGGATTTTAAGTTTAAGTTGCCTCCAACAATGAGCTGATACATTAGCTATTGGATTATATAAGTATTACAATATTTTATATTAGACGGTATATATACACAGTGTGGCAAATAATTTTTAAGACTCGCGCTAGATAAAAGCCAATAGCAGAGCCAGGTATGAAATTGCGCATGCGTATATTGTCAAATAGCTCCATCCAGATGGGACAACTGTCAATCATCCCTGGACCCCGGGAGGGGGGAAGCTGATATGTAAATAAGGAAAACGGGACGGTGGCTAACGCCGTTCATGAGGATTAACTTTTAACTTGGGTAAGTTGTAAAAAAAAAACTCTCTCTCCCTACAAATACCCCTTGTAATAAATTATTTATTCCCAAATTTGCCCTTGCTTTATTTATCTCCGCGACAATATATATTCGAAGCCTTATCTAGCGCGTGGCTTTGTTTCAGCCATTTTGGTTAACTCTTTAAAACCATACAGGCGATTTTTGAAAAGTGAAAATTTTTGTTCGTCGGAATTCTGAGATTGAACAGAGAGCGGTCATTAAATTTAATGCAAAACTTAGTAGATGTGCATCGGAAACATATATTTTGATTAATCAAGTTTGTGATACGTTATGTTTGAGTAAATCAAATGTTTTCATTTGGCACAAACGTTTTTCGGATGGAAGAAATACCCTAGAAAATGATAAGCATACTGGACAACCAAGTTCTTCGAAGACACCAGAAAGTATAGAAAAAGTGCGAGAATTTGTTGCAAACAATCGCAGTGCATCCCTGAGAATGATGGCAGAGGTTTTACACATCAACAAAGAAACGATTCGAACCATTCTGCAGGAAGATTTGGGTAAAACTAAAGTCTGTGCTAAATTTGTTCCACACACTTTAACGGGCGAGCAGAAATCATTGAGAATTGCACATTGCAGGGACATCATTTCTGCCTATGAAAATGATTCAAACTTCCTGAAATCAATTGTTACGGGTGATGAAACATGGTGTTTCCAGTATGACCCAAAGACAAAGCGCCAAAGTGCCGAATGGAAGTCAAAAAACTATCCACAAGCCTAAAAAACGCGAAAAGTGCCATCAAAAATCAAAACAATGCTGATTACCCTTTTAGATGGTAGAGGTATTATCCAAAAAGAATTTGTTCCCGCTGGACAAACCATTACAGGAGAGTATTATTTAAACGTTTTGAAACGTTTGATTGCCAGAATTCGTCGCATTCGTCCAGAATCGCGATGAAGACAATTGGTGTTTGCTGCATGATAATGCACCGAGTCACTCCTCACTCATTGTTCGTCGCTTTTTGGCCAAAAATAACGTCTGTGTTGAATCATCCTCCGTACTCGCCTGATTTAGCACCATGTGACTTTTATTTATTCCCAAAAATAAAATTGATGTTAAAAGTTTTTTTTTTTATGATATCCCGACCATCCAGAGAGCTGCGACGAGCACTTTGGAGGCGATTCCTCAAAGTGGCCTGCAAGAGGCATTTAATTCCTTATTAAATCGTTGTAACATATGTATTGAATCCGGAGGGGATTTTTTTGAATAAAAAATAGCAGAAATTGAATTAGCTTGTTTCTGTTTTATTTTACAAACCCATTCTTAAAAATTATTTGCCACACTGTGTATATATATCAAATATATCAATAATATTATAAATTTATATATTTAAAAATATATTTTTATATCCTATTAAATACAGTTAAAACTTAAAAATAAAAGCGGGTCCAGTTCTATTCGGGAATAATCCAGCAAATTGATGGGGTCTCGTGATTTTCATATATACATTTTATTCTTTTTAAACACGGCTGTTTATATCTATACTGTATTCTATAAGATGTTTTGAATACCAAAGTCACTTTCATGAAAATAGTCACATTAAAATAAGTAGGTATCAGAAATTTCGAGCTTCTTGAATAAAAATCAACTTTGACATAAAGTTGTCCATTTTTCAAGTTTTCTTAAGTTGAAGAAGATTTGTCAGGAACTTGTTCCCAGCCATCTAACCAACCTCACTGTATCAGAGAATATTTCTGTCAATTGTGTTTTATTACTGGGAAGCTGGCAAAGGTCCAACGACGGAAAGAGAGGAAGTGCACGAGTTAGTAAATAACACGCCCACAGAAATCTTTTATTAGAACGACAACGTAAGAGAAAAATATCAATTTATTTCAGACTGAAAAAGCATTGACAAATTGTACATGTCCTAGTAAATCTCGGAGTTCCCAAAGTGAGAATCTGGGTGTTTGAGCCAAGACGATTGACACACTCTGACAACTCTGTCAACATTTCTACTTATAAAGGGTTTTATAGATCCATTTAAACGTTTGAACAATCCATAGATGCTTTTCTAAGAAGTAAATAAACTGTAGACTATAAAAATGATCATTTCAGATGATTCGTGCTGAAAACAGAGCGATCTTTACTAAGCACACATGGCTTTAAATGCCATTTCTTGTTTGATAAAGAAGCATGCAGTAATGGGTCGAGCACGTCCAGGCTTACGAAGCTAGCAACGACCACATGGTTAACTTTTATCATTAATAAAAGAAAGGGCAATGTCCAAATGATAGAAAAATTGAATAGTTAAGTTGATATTAATTCCGAAGTATAACGCTCTTCCATCAGCAACCCGGATTCGAGCCAGAGACCTTTAGATCTTCAGTCTAACGCTTTCACAACATAGCTGAATAGTAATAGATTGTAGCTTAGTCGGGAAAGCGTTAGATTGAATATCTAAAAGTCCCTGGGGTTCGAAGCCGGGTTTCGGTATCTTTATTAAGGCCAATAAATATTTTTATTCAATCCAATCTAAGTTAGTTATCGCTTCTCGGCCTTTTGGCTAAGATCAAGTGTATTCCCAAGGCCCTATGAAGGCTATATGCCCCACCTACAACCGAGTCGTGGAGGTATAACCACTCAGGGTCTGGAGGAAATGCCAACCCGAAGAAAGAAGAAAGAATAAGTGGATCTTCCCGCAAGAGGACCTTCCGCCCGGATCCGGAGGACCAGAAGAAGACCCTTTTGTACCATATTTATTTTGCAACCATTATTTTTAATTAATTTGTATATTTTTTATATAACCGTGTTTTTAAGCATCTCCTATGTTGAACATGTATTTTTTGGAATTGTTCAATAAAATGTTTTATATTTTTTCTAACGAGGATAAAAATATTTTTGTCGAAACGTTTAGAAAATAAAAACATTTTTTGGCCAAAGCACCTTTTATTTACGTGGACTTATAATATTTGAGAGAATATAGCTATCAGATAGCATACAAGCTTGCCATTACAGACTATATTCAAAGGCTTGTTGATCTATTAATGAGCTGCATTCGCTGGAATTCAAGCAATAGGTCGCCAAATTTCCACCTCTACTAAGGCGATAGGAAGTTCAATCTAATCCTTCTATAAGCCTAGACCATTCAGTGTAGAATAGACACGTCATATAAACTCGGCATAAGGCTACTCTGATAAAATTCTTCACATATTATCATGGGCTTTTTTTTAACAAAGGCGATTTAGAAGAGAACCTCAATATGAGAACACCAACTAAATCATAAGGGTACATGATATTTGAATTGAGCTTTTATATTTTTAAAAATGCAAAAAGGTCTTCGTTTGGCATTTTTATTGTGTACCAGAGTTATTATTTGCTTCTATGCTTAATCACAATTCCACTCTCAAACGCATTCAACCAAGGCAAAGCTTTGCTTTTAAAACTTATAAATATTGAGGTTACTCACAACACCTATGACAAAACACGGTCCATTTGTTAAAATACAGCTATTGAATGACAGGTATTTAGAAATGGAATAGAAAGCTAAGTCTTACAGAGCTCAATACTGTTACTTAAGACCATCCAGAAGCGATAAGAAAGCTGTATGCAAGTTTCACCTCGGCAATCTGTGACGTCCAGTTCAACCTCACTGTTGCCACACAGTTCTGGCAACTGCTCAAGAGATAATCGCTGTTTGCTCTTTGGTTGCGGAAATAAATTAAATTTCAACGCATATTAAATAGTGTTTACAAGGAAGGCCTGTGACGATTTATTTGAAAGATTTCAAAAGAGTTATTCAATTGGTACGTTGATCCGATGTAAATTTCTAAAGTTTGTTGTAGAATTTCATCATGCTTTACTGAGAGCTGTGACTAATCCAATTTCAAGATAGCTTGCTGAGGTGTATATGGGTAACATCATACAAGGATATTTCGAGATCCTATGCTGAGGAGATAACCAACACCGCTCAAGAATATTTCGAGATAACTTTCTGGAAGGGCTATTGTAGATTAAAAGCAAGATAGCCTTTAAAGATTATAAAGAAAGCAATCTATACATATCTGGGTAATTTTAAGATTAAAACAATATATTTTGGAATATTTCAAAGATGTTTGTCTTCAGAGTCAAAGTATATTTGAATCAAGTTTCATAGAATTTATTTATACAGGTTTTGTGAGTAGAGCGACACCTTTATTCCGAGAGAAATTTGTCATGTAGAAATGGCTCTTTGAATAAACGTATTTTACAGATCTACTCCATGAAACTTTTGATTTTTCCGAAACATCAGTCACACTTTCAACACACAGAATACAAGTATATCGTGTATACAACAATCGTACAATACGTGTATATTGAGATATTTCATCAGAATGCAACGAGTATTCTGCTCGATAGCCAAGAAAACGAGTTCCAGGTTTACCAGGCTGTATCAAAATATCGTTCCCCCATAAATAATATTTTTAATAAACATTAAATGATATGTAAACAAAAATATTTATTTATTCGAGTAAAGACGGTCATTTTCGATAACAGCCAGCTATCTTTGTGTCAGGCTTTCCATTTGCTGACCATACCATTCTCGGGGTTCAGAGTCGAAAAAGTTACGAAAGGAAAATTCGACATCTTGAAAATTTTTAGCTTCTTCCCCTTAGAAATATAGCCATGGACCGAAATAATGCATAATCAGATGGCTAATACCAGGGCTATAATCAGGGTGAGGTAGAACTTCAATACCCTCCAAATCGTTAATTCTTTTAGTTGTTAATCTAGCTCGACGAGCTGAAGCATTGTCATGTGGCAGGAGTACTCTCTTTCGGTTGATCAAAGCAGAATATCGAGTCTTCAAACTTCATATACTCGGCTGAGTTGTTCTGAGTAGATGTCGGCCTTAACTGAACGACCATCAGAAACAAGTTCGTAGTGTACAATTCCATCGATGTTCCACCATAAAGACAACATAACTTTATGGCCAAAGCGATCCTGTTTAACTACAGGTTTAGCATCTTGATCACAGGGTACCCATTGTCTTTTTGTGTCGGAGTTACGAAGATAGATCCACTTTTAATCTTCATTTACAATCCGCTTCCAAAACCGAAAATCTTGCTGATTTTCAAACAATCGTTTACAGATATCGACTCGCCTCTGGGTCTGGGCTATAGTCAAGTCGTGGGAATCTTGTCTCGGAGGTTTTCTAACAAAGTGCAGTTTGTGCAGAGTTCGTTTGATAGAATCTTTGGATGGTTCAAGTATGGCTGACATTTCACGCGTAGATTGTTGTGGTTTGTCCATCACCCAAATCGTAGGGTCTCAATATCCGTCACATGTGGTCGTCTCATTCGAGGTTTGTCCTCAAGGCTGACGTCTCCTTCTCTAAAGCTCTTGAACCATTTTGAAGCTGTTCTTCTATTGACTATTCCTTTCCTTCAACTTTGCATATTTCATTTGCCGCCATATTTACATTTGGCCCTTTTTTTCAAAAAGAAGAACAATAGTACTCGGATCGTTATTTTTGCTCACACATTCTTTAGCTCTCTACTAGAATACTGAAATGTTATTCTAAACCCTATTACGTTATTTCAATCACGTGGGCATCGACCGTGAGACCGAACCTTTATTTATTTACTTCATTTATATTGGTATATATTTGAATAATTTAAATTTTATATTGGGCGCTTCTGTTTTGGGAACGAACTTTTGATACAGCCTGCTATTTACAACAATGAAAATATGTTGTGTGTAATTTCAAATGGATTCACTACATTGATTTGAGAGATATTCAATAAAAATGTAAATGTGATGTTTTTAGTCCTCCCCTTTGCACACCTTCACCAGTTCCGATACTTATACAACACCTTCGAACAAATTGGCCGCTAGATAAGGGGAAGTTCAGTCTAATCTTCTTAGCAATGGAAACCTTTCTTGCTTCTAAACACCTGAGCCACGAAATAGCAACAAAATTATTTATAATTTCTTAAGAAATCTCGATTATATATCTTAGTATTTTGAGATCCCTTGAATGTAGTTTGCTTCTCTTTTTTGTCGTAACGCTTTCAAAGATGACCCAAGCGTTCTAGAATATGAATATTTCACAGAAATGTTTTGTGATTGTGATAATAATAACTAAAGGTATCTTATGCTAAAATAAATCCAAAATGCTTTAGGAAAAGCCTTTAAAAATATGATGCTGAGTCATCAATATGTTTAGTGAATATGTTCTAATGTTAATTTAAGACAACCTTATATCGCACAATAACAATTATGAAAAAAATGATGAATCATTTATATCAATGAACTAGTGATATATGCTGAAGGGAAAATTCACCGAATTCCTATCAGAACCCGGCTCACTTTCTTCAATGGACTATAGAAGAATCACTAGACACCTCCCCAGAAAAAGACAATAAAGTGTTTATATAACAACCCCTAAGCAATACTTTAAATTCGTTTCACAACTTATAGAAAAATTATAAAATTCTTTGACATTTATAATATATTATTTTCTTAATATCAATAAAAAATATTGATTTCCTAGGCGATGAAATTGTAGTTGCTGTAAGTGTTTGGAATTCATAATCACGGTAAGTAACTAACAAATTGTAAATATCTACTCGTTATTTATACAGGATTTAATCAAAATTATTCAGATAATTTCGTAGAGAGAACAAATAATCAAAATTTATTCTAAAAAATTTAAATATATATCAGTTAAATTCTATTTATCTTGCTATTATATACATAGCGCTCGAATTGGTCTCCACGTGGCAGGTAGAACATTCGAGAAATTCCTTATAAAAAACTAGGTGACGTCTGTTATTTAATATTGAATACTTTTACAGAATATGTTAAGTAATTCATTTACAATTTTAATTCGAATTGGATAAATAGACAAATGAAGTTTTATGGTGATATGCGCTCGGCCAGGTCGCAATAAAAGGTACGACAAATTTTGATCGGTTCAAAAGTATAATTCAAGTTTTATTAGTGACAACACAGTGAAAGAGATCAACAGTCTTCGAATGATTCATAAATGATTGTACTATAAGAGAATATGATGTAAATATCTAGAAAATAGGATGTTAAGACGCCTGAAACACTGAAAATTGATTTGATATTAATACTTTCGAAAGAAAACAACATACAAACCAGAATAACTACAGGAATATCTCTTAGAAAGATAATTACAGTAGTTCACCATCTTGGGTTGAAGAATAATACCAAATTGTTATCAGTGTCATAATGAATGAATATAGCTTATACTTCATTAAATTTATTATTTTCTATATTCGGCATTAATATCTCCTATTTTGTATCTAACTCTGGATTAGTGATGTAAAGGAAATATATGAAAGTGGTTCTTCAATAAAAATGGCTGAAGATGCTTCGGGAAAAGTAGTTTGTAAACTGTAATGAGAGAAGAGATGGTACTATTATTTAGATGTTAATTATTTTTATCAATCGCTTTTTATTTATATTAAACATTAAAACAAAACTTTAAAGGTTCTA